CCCTCACCCCCCCGCGTTGGAATTTCGAAAAATCCTTTCTTAGTGTGCGTTTCCATGACGTACCCTAACTGTGTACCAAATTTCACCTCTTTAGGTTAAGCGGTTTGCTCTGGGCGATGATGAATCAGTGAATGAATGAGTGAGTCAGTCAGGACAAGCAATTTTATATATTTAGATGGAATAAACTTTTTGTATCTGCAAAGTTTTTTTTAATAAAATAACGCTAATTTTATGACTCTAATATTTTGTCATTAAATTTTCTTCAAAAATCGACGGATATTTCTTTTAAATTGAAATATTTTTCATTTGTTATTTGTTAATTATGAAATATGTTATTTTGCTATTATTGTTGAGTATTCTCAAATATAAATATTTGTATTGACATTTTGTATTAACGCGAAATATACCGCAAAATACTATATTTGAGTTACAAAACAAACTATGAAAATAAATTGTACTAACAAAAACATTTCTCTTAAAATATTTTAAGTTTTATAAAAGTAACGAGCAATTATTTATTCTGACATCGAATTGTCCCTGTACATCATACTTTCCTGCTTGCATGAAAGTTGTGCGGGTCATCTATCTAACGCCTTTCAAGAGAAAATTTTGAATTGAAATAATGTGACTTCTTGTCCAGATCCGACGTTCCCGTATTATCAATCTGGGCCTCCTGTGTCACACATTACCAGACCTGGTCTCGGCATTCATCTATGTAACACCGTTCTGAAGAATAAGCAAAGACAGCCGGACCACAGTGGAAATTTGTCTACAATTTTTTACAAATTGCAGTCCAAAAATTTAAATTTAACACAACACTCTACATAAATAGTTTCTGTAATTTCTTTTCACAAATAGTTTATTCCATTGTACAACAATTTTTCGTTGTTTTATATATTTTAGAAGAATTATAACTAATAAATGGACCAATCACCAATATTTACCGTCTTGGAGACTTTGTCCTTCGATACTCAAATCGGGTCCCTTTCTCACGGTGAAAGCAGAAACTTTGATGCGATAAATCGCCGAATGTCGAACGGAAATACTTGTATTGTAAGTGGTTGAACTGACGTTAAATGCACGATTCTTTTCAAAGGTTGCGTGACAATCATGACGCCATCCAATTTGAACATATTCTATATAATAATTGACGATAATCCCGTTTTCTTCTTCGGGCTTCTCCCACGTTAATAAAAAATATTGATTTAGAGAAGAGTTTTGAATTTCGTAACGAAGATTTCTTACTTGGCTTGGCGCTGAATTAAAATAAAATTGAAATAAATGTAAATTCTAATTATATATTGATTTATTTATAATTCGATTTATTAGTAAATATTTAATAAAGTAACAAATTAATAGTAATATTTAAATTGAATAATTTAATGTCTTATAACTCAGAAGATCAAAATGTCTATATGCTGACAAACTCCTCCATTGTAAGAATTATTTATTTATTTTAATACATTCAAACATTCATACATCTTACACACAAATTTGACTTTTTTTTTCTTTCTGATAATCTTACAGATTATCAGGAAGAAAAAAAAAAGTCAAATTTAACAAATAATCAGGATTGCTGAAAAGTAGAAATACAGTTAAATCTGTAGGAAATGTGAAGAATTCATTATACAGATAATGCACTGGTAGCAAATATTTAAAAAATATATATTTTTTCAATATTATATTAAATATATTTATGTAAACCTAGTTTGAATAGTTGAATTAATTGAATAATGTATTTCAACAACCAAAAAGTTTTCTAAAATAAGAAATTTGTTATATGGAACTTTTTAATATGGAAGTCCAACTGTATATAAGAGAAACCATATTGATAAAAATTAAACCTAAAAGAGATTGAAAAATTAGGATATCAATCATCAAATAACAAGCTAGATTTATTAACAGGCTACCTTTTGACTAATTAAAGTGATCAGTATGGTTATATCTTTTTTCGTCTGGAAGCAAAGATTGGATGGACAGTCTAGATCAGTGTTTCTCAACCTGTAACGAATCGTCGCCTCCTTAAATAAAACCGTTACATAGTATCACTTCCCTTCACTTCAAAATTTCGATGCCCAGGGCCAAGGCTAACACCAAATTCGTACTGCAGTGAATAGACTAGTATAATGTTATTTGTTTAATTATTGCACGATATAACGGATAAAATATGTAATTATTATAATGTTTTACTATATCGCCTAGAAAATTGTTTTTCGCCCCCCAAATATAAATTGTTACTAATCGCCCCCTCAACATGAAAAAACGCCCACATGAAGGCGATATCGCCCCCGTTGAGAAACACTGGTCTAGATGAAGTTATTTAATTATTATATTGTTAAAAATATTAAATAATTTATTTCGTATTTCGCAGAACTTTTCCAAATACAGACATTAAAATATTACATTAGATTATTTTAAAGATAAAATACTTACATCGGAGGAATTGTTTTAATTTAAATAATTAAATCTACATTAATAAATACATATACAGTAGAAGTTAATTCTATTTTTTTATAAAATTCTTATATGTTAAATAAATATAGAAACGCAAGTATAATCAATAAAATAATTACGATAATTAGGTTAATTGTATAATTTTTAAAACATTGTTTATTACTTACCATCTTGTTCGGATAAGATCATTTCCGTTTTCGACCAGTTACTGTATATTCCATTTACATCTAAATATCTTATTTTAATATGCCACATCGTGTAAGGTTTAGTATTAAATACAAAAGGATTAGAATATTCCTGAACTGCAGTATTAAGATTCTCACTGGTATTAAAATTTAGATAATTGATGAAAACCGTAGATCCATCGCATTGTCCTACTTTTCGAAAAGGATTCTATTCGAAACAAAAATATGTTTTCAATCTAAAATGTTACCGCTTGATTGAAAATAAGTTCTCTCTAAATGTACTCACGTTCCATCTTACAGAAATCCTCCTAGGTCCTTCATTCCTAAGGATAATATCAATTGGAGGTGGTGGAGCTGAAATGTACGAAATTAAGACATTCGGAAACTTCCCTCACAATATTTGTATATATTTATAATTGTAAAGAATTCAATTTTTAAGATTATTTTAAAACGGTTAAAGTCGATGTGAAAAATCACTTGCTTTATAAGAAGCAACTGAATCACGCATGCATCTCGGCTCACACATATACTGTAAATATTCAAATTACTTAAAATCCTTCAATGAATATACATGGCTAGAGAACTCGATTCAACATTCAAGTTGAACGCCTTAAATGTTGAATCGTGTTTCTACAGTCGCGGAAGACGTTTCCAAGAAGATTTTAAATTTTCCTTTCCCGACTAGTGGTGCCTTTTTAATCTCCCCTTCGAGTGAGAGGAATATCAAAAAATATCCTTGGTTTTTACAATAAATTTTTAAAAAACTACATAGAAACATTAAACGACATTTGGATGGCCTTCAGTTAGTCTTCAGAGAATATTGTATCTATTTGTTTTGAAAAAGTGCTTTCAAGGGCATCACGAAAGAAGAGCCTAGACCATGGGTGGCCAACAGTTTTTGCCCCCGGGCCGAATTGGAAAGAAAACTTTTTTCACGGGCCGAACTAGAGACTGCCCTAGGAAGATTTTGAGGTAATGCCAGATCTTAAGATTTGTAACGGAGGGTTAACTCTAAACCAGGGGTCGCCAAACTTTTTTAACCGCCGACCCCCAACCACTTTCCAAAACCCCACATTGACCCACCACCGTAAAGTTTTATTACAAGTGTAAGTGTATAAGCAAAAAAAAAGGTTGTGACCCCTTAGCCGCATCGACCCCCCCCAATGATGTTGCATCGACCCCTGGAGGTCGATATCGACCACTTTCGCGACCCCTGCTCTAAACGCACAGTGAGTTGTTGTTGATTTTTTTTTAGGCGTCAGAATTTTTCACAGAGCTATTCGGACTTGAGTAGCTAATATTAAAAGATTAATCGCAGGCCATACAAATTTATTAGACGGGCCGTATGTTGGCCATGCCTGGCCTATACGCACAAATGTGGATATAAGAAAAGAGGAGATGAAAAGTGCAAAGTTTTCTTAATTTTGCGTAACTAATACAGCAGTAATTATTTTTAACTTTTCTTCCCTGTAGACACTAAGAGAGCGTTTTTAGAAATCCCATTGCGTGTTCGGCCAGGCCCATAACAGGGTAGCTGGGTGGTGAGTGATGGGGTTTGACATATCCAGACGGACCATCTTCGAAAAATTACGGTGATGAATCAATTTCGGATTCCACAGATATATGTTGCCATCTTAACTGCTCGACGCATCTAAATCGCATTAATAACTGTTTCCAAGGAAGGCCGGCTTCCTTGAAAACAGTTATTAATTTCAATCACTTTATTTGATTATTCTTCACACTTTAAAATAAATCCTGTTGGTTCCACTGACCGCTTCATTTAAAACCGTCTTCTGAATCCTTTCATTTTAATTAATACTAATTATTATTAAACGGCTTTAGTTAACATGCTTTATACCATGTCTTCGAATCTTGCAACTCAAATTTCAATCCCTTCCAATTAAGATAGAAGGCCGAATCTGAGAACATTCCTAGTCATACCTAAGTCTGATGGTAATGCATTTTAATTATATTTTAGGGTTGGCTACGTCCTCGCCGTCATGCTCACCCCGAAACCCGTTAAACATAATCATATGTAGAATATAGTCATGATGTGTATGTGTAGTGATGTATATGGTACAGTGCGGGTATTCTGTCATGCCTAATTTCCTGAAAAATATTCAATAAAATATGTTTATTTTAATTTTTAAGCGATATTAAAATCATTTTTCTGTCTAGTATTAATCCGTAATTAGCCGCTTTATTAATTAAAATTCTAGTATTTCTGGTTTCCACACTCCTTGATTCGTGAAACCGTCTCAATTTTTTACTAATGTCCTGAAAAAGTGTTTCGCGATAACCAAATTTCACGTAATGCATGGTTTTGATTACATCTAAAGAGCATCATTTTCTTCCAAACTTTTAAGAAAAATGTTTTTAATCTTGAATAAAAATTTGCTTTTAGTCACTTTGTTTTCACTTACAGTTAGTGTCCGTGACTAATTCTGCTAACTTATTCACATCAAACTTTTATTATGGACTTTTTTTTTACTTAAATCCTTTTTCCATCAAGTTGCTTTATCAATATTCTGTTTCTCCCTCTTTTAGTTTCATGAACCAAATCTTCACGCTATAAACTGATTTTCGGGATTTGTACACTTTGTATTAAATAATCATTAAATAAAACATATTTTTACAGTACATTGAATTATGTAGACTCATCAAATTATAAACTAAAATAGTATAAATTACATACTTACTAGTACATAAAGTCGTCACTCTAACTCGAGGAATACCGCCATATTGCACATGTCCTGTTACATCTTGAATATAAATTTGGAAAATGTATTTCGTATTGGCATGAAGATTTTCTATTTTTATGGAATATGAAGGGTTTTCTGTGTGACTCACAGAAGTGCGATTAAAGACAGAGCTCTTTGTATTCTGTATAAAAATTTTTAAAAATTGTTTTAATTGAAGTTAAAAACATTAAAGATTGAAAAGAAAATATGTGAAATATAAAACACGTAAAATTATATTTTATGTTCACTATTAATTACAGAAATGATTAAAAATAACCAAAGACAATTTTATGAAGAATTTAGTTTACAAAGTACGAGAAGAAATCCATTTTCTAGTAAAAAGAGTGATGCTACCAAATTTTAATATTATGCATATTTAGGCCATTTTTTGTTCTTTTGTAATTTTCCTTTCTATGTGAAAGATGAGAAAATTTTTTTCTTCCTTTTCGGTCTTATAATTATAAATTAGTTTAAGTTATTAAAGGAAAAATTGCACAGAGAGTGATTTGAATATTCTAATTATTATTATTCGGGTGAGAACTACCTTTATATTAAAGAACATTTCATTCTGTATGTTGACAAATTGTTTCCTTTCTGTCTTATACAAAATCAAACAACACCCGATCACAACAAAAAACGCTATATCATAAACATATTTACTTAGGCTTAATAATAATGATATTTTATTATTTATTTTATGATAAAAATGGATAAATGTTTAAAAATCTCGAAAAACTTTTATTGTGTTTTAAAAGTTTATTATACTCCTGGAATTAAATTTAAACTTAAAGGCTTACACACTTTTCCGATTTCGGTCGAACGTTTCTATTAATATATTTTCTGAAATTTCAAGTTATTTTCAACTTTAATTAATTCAATGTTTTAATAAGAAAATCACACACACACACGCACAAACTTTATCTTAAAACATGTGCATATTTAAAACCAAGGATCGAGAGTCAGAGTTATAAATTAACCAATTAGCGTTTACGTACTAAAAGTATAGTGAATGGTCCGTGTCTTCAAATTTTAACTGTTGATCCTTGTTTGTGAATATGGTCGTAAGAAACACAGAGTGAAATCAAAGATTTCGTACTAAGTTATGGAAACTGATAAAATAAATTTCATATAAAATTGATGTAACTTATTTCGCTGGAAATTTCGTAAGTTTTTTCATGATTTTCAAATAATGTAGTATATATTTTTAATATGTATCACTTCGACATAGCTGAAAATATATATTACTTTTAAATAATTTAATTTGTATACTTTTAAAGTAGATATTAATGCAATGCTGAAAATTTAAATTATTTTAAATTAAAAACCCAGCAAAGAGTTGCATATCTTCCCCTGCAAAATCATTTAAAATTGCGTGTGGCGCCATAATATTTTATTTTAAAAACCTTTTATATTATTAATTATTATAAAATTTGAATAAGTTTAATTTTTTGGGTAGTGATGAGTTTTGTGAGGCTCTGGACAGGTCCGAACCCTCACTAAAATTGGCGGAAAATAATTGTTTTAAAGAAAATAATATATTAGTTAGAAATAGATTTTTATTTTATGAAAACGCGACGCTAACTTTAAAACAATAGAAGAATGGAAGTCCGTCGACCAGTTCCGGTTGGAGATCGAATTAAACTTCGATTTTGACCTCTCCCGCGCCCCCGAAAGGTTTCGAATTGTCATCAGGTGACGACGGGAGACCAATCGGAAAGGGGAATCTGAGAGAAAACAGATAAAATCCCGGAAATTCGAGGACGCGACGGCTTCTTCTCCCGAAAGTTCCGAGTGACGGACCTGCTGTGTGTGTGTCTCGCACCCATCTTCGTCTCCATCTCCCGACCTCGGATCGACATCTTTCCATCAACGGAAGTCGACCGCATCGTCCCGGAGTCGTCGAGACGTGATGGAATGGTTCATTCTCGAACAAGGGACACTCCTTCAAAATGGGACTATCGTGGAACCACAGGAGAGGAAGACCCAGCGACCGCAGCCGACGTAGAACTTCCAAGATCGCAGTAATCTTGTAAGCTTCTTTCGTGTTTAATAAACGGTTGTGTTGTTTGTAAACGAGGCATCTATCTCTGACTCAACTGCTTCCACATGTCGTTGATTGTTACCGCTCGGCAGTCCAAACGGCAAGGGAGACGATGACGATATATATCACATATTATCGTTCATCGAGTTTTTTAAATTTCCCCCCCTTCGGCCCCCACAGTTTTATATATAAAAAATTTAAAATACCGTAAATCTTAATAACAATCAAGATCTTCGTTAAGTTCAACCTTACTCCAGATATGAGACATAATACTCCGCCTCAATCTCCCCACTCCTCTGACCTTTAATCACCAAAATTTAATAGTACCAATCTCTAATATGTGAGAAATTTTTCTTTGAAATTTCAGAAATTTTCGACAAAAGACACAGGAGTTATTAATTAAGCTTAAAAGTGGGTGAAGAGAATTATGGCACACGCACACACACAGACTAACATTCATACAAACTGAAAAAAATTCCATAAATTAATTTTTCATTTCTCGACGTTTGAAGGTTCCTGAGTCCAAAAATGCGGAGGGGTCTTTTTTTGACCGATCGACATATTTTCCTCTGTTATATGTAATAGGCGAGAAAGTAAATAGTTTTGTTCTTCCTTACAAGTGTCGGCTTTATATTGCGCGATATACCAGATTAATTCGTATTACTTATACATCAAATCTCTTGATTAACTTTCTGTATTTGTAGTCGAGTGTACAAATAGTTACAAAATGCATAATTCGAATTATCCGGTCGTCTTTATTTAATACTTAAAGCTATATAAACTATAAATTCTATTGAATAATATGTCGTAAACATATCGTAAGTGATAAGTCTATACGTTACACAAATAAATCTATTTAATATCAATCAGCATACCTGAAACTCAATAAAGTAAAGGGAAGGTGTTCCTTCACCTTCGTCCGTATCCTTATTCCATTTATGAAAATGTACAACAACGCTATCCGATGTTATATTTGTAATTGTTACGTTTGATTTTAACACGGGATAACCTAAAAGAAGAAAGAAAATATAAATATATTCCATTTATCTAAATTTATACTGTATATTTCTATAAATAAGTTGTTTTTGGAATATGTGAACTTGTTCGAAGAACCTAAATAAAATCAATAGAAAATCAACAAAGCTACGTCCTTTTTACTCCGGAAATGTCCTTTTTTTACTGTAGAATGTTTGTCTCAGAGGATTTTTTGTAATGAAACAAGAAAAGCAGAAACAAGAACAAGACTGAAAATGTATTTCATTCTTTCGTTTATAGAACAAAACTTATAATAATTGAAAATTTATATTATGCTACTTTTTAAAATCAAAACGTTCTTGACTTATTCCGAAACCGGGTCTTCTTTTTATTATTCTTTACTTACAGCCGGCAATTAACTCCCAGACTATACATAGAGAAATTTGATTTCGAATATTTCAGTCCATAGATCGAATATCAAAATTCTGGCTACGTCATAATAAAACCCTTGGCTAAAGAATTCTTATATGTATCTATATGTTACTGTAAAAGCCCGTATATTGGTAAATCCTAGGTTTTACTTGTAAATCTACGAATTTACCAACATAAGTTGGTAAATGTAAGGATTTTTATAAAGTGTGATGAATTTCCGGGCTTTTCCCATTAGAATTTGGTACATGCTAGGTTTTACTAAAGACGATTAGTAAATGTTGGTTTTGGAAATAAAACAATGAGTATTTTAATAATCATTTATTGCAATTATTATAAACAGTCAACTTACTAAGTCCTATTTATAAATAACTAGTGAAATAGTTTAAAAATACTTTTTTAACATAACAAAAAATTAAATTATCTTGTCAAAAATAATATAATAGCTTACGTTGGTTAAGCTAATCAGTAATCATAGTATTTTTTTTTAATCATTTGGTATTCATTGTCATTTCATAAAAGTAAAAAAAGGATTTTACAACATGGAGAGCTATAATGGCATTTCGAATTACAAAGTAATCCTGATGACTTGCAAGTGCGCTTCTTTGTTACGCATTTTTTTAGGCGGTTGCATTTCTTGAAACCTTGTCCTCCGGTCAAAGACAACTTATCAAAGACTCACTTCTTTATCTTTAACCCTCTGACCACTTTGATAACTGATTTGTTTCCATCCACGTGCTCGACATATTTTCTATGTCTTGATTAGCACGCTCCACTGATCCATGACTTTGGATTTTTACATCCGGTCACATGGAGCATAAACTCTCAATAACTTGGTTAGACAATTCTTAGCCGTTATCGGAATGAAGGATGCTCGACGCTCCAAAAGTGGTGAAAATATCCAAAAGATAGTATGCAACTTCTACGGCGCGTTAAGTTTGAAGTGCACGAAGGATCACAAATTTGGTAAGATGATTTTGGTAAACTAAAATAAATTTATAATTTCCATCTGGGGTAGTTNTAGGATTTTTACATCCGGCCACATGGAGCATAAACTCTCAATAACTTGGTTAGACAATTCTTAGCCGTTATCGGAATGAAGGATGCTCGACGCTCCAAAAGTGGTGAAAATATCCAAAAGATAGTATGCAACTTCTACGGCGCGTTAAGTTTGAAGTGCACGAAGGATCACAAATTTGGTAAGATGATTTTGGTAAACTAAAATAAATTTATAATTTCCATCTGGGGTAGTTTGTACATCTATTAGATCAACCTGACAGCGTGAGTTCATTTCACTATGAGGTATAAGTCTGATGACAATGCCCTTTTTCAAAGTCTTCTATTTCTTTTGGCAAGGTTGACATAGCTTCAAATATGTCATGGTAGCCTCAACTGTTACATTTTTATACTTGCGGTTACATTCCTTAAGCATCCGTGTCCTTCCACTGTGGCCAACAGCAACATGTGTTTCTTCGAGAATATTGAATAAGTCCTCGTAACAAATGTAATACCTTATTTCTCCATTTTCCTCCTTCGTAGGCGCAATTAGTTTTTCTTCGCCGCCTATAGTCAAAATGTCGTAACGCTTTATATGACTGTAATAAACAGCTTGTTTCTTATTCATGTTCTTTGCAGCTTTTACTTCTTCCAAACACTTTGCATATTTGTCCCTATTGAGATAAAAGTTATCATCTTTCTTGCTTGCAATGAGCTCGTCCATTATTTCATAAAATCTCCATTTCACACTCATCTTGATTCATAAATAACTTTTAGACAGAGAAATCTCAAACAAGATTAGAATTAATATGCGCGATCTAACGTGTCAAACGATGGAATGCGACGAGCGAAAACGGCGGCGTAGTGCGGTACGGGATTGGGGATCGGGGACTATTTTTTCAACATTTACCATGTCTCTGATGTAAAACCTAAGATATACCGAGTAAATGCTGGTAAAAGTTCGAAATTAACAATGATCGCAGAACATTTCGGACTTTTACCACAATGATTTGGTAAATCTTAGATTTTACTGGAAAAACTTAGGATTTACCATAGTTCGAGCATTTACAGTAACATATATACAAATTTATAATATTTATACGTTTAAAATACTCATCAAAGCATCCGACGTTGATATGAGAAAACAACGAATATTCTGTCAGTGAATAAATGTTTTCTTAAGGCCGGATAATGACGTGCGGTGTACAATGAACTTTGAAATGCCTAGTGATAATATAGGAAATATTGAATTCGTTTTCAAGATATTATGAATTACGTCATATATAATAATTCATCTCTTTAACGGCTTCAGTGTTGATCATTATGAACGGCAGTAAGCAAAAGAGAGAAATGAGAAGCCACGATCTGCAGTAATAGCTCAGTTATGTTTCCTTTCAGCACTAAAAAAAAACACCGTAGCGCAGTGTCATTTCAAATCTGCTTGAATAATTCATTTTTAAAATCAAAAATATAATTATTAGAATTCTGAAAAGTCTAAAGATTTTTTTCTTTTACTGAAATATATAACGATTACATTTTATTTTGTAAATGGTCCTAATTATGTTTTCCGTTACAATCAAACTATGCTAGAAATATGCTTATTTTAGAAACGGAATATATTTGATTAAACTTACTTATTTGGCACATATCGCCACGCCATCCTTGTTTACATCCACCAATACATGTTCCATTAAAAGGGTTGCAAGTTGTATAACAGTTCTGAGGACAATTTTGTAGGCAATTCACTCCATACCGTCCATTCTCACAGACTGAAAAATAAATATACATAAAACATTTACATTATATTTGTATATGTGTATCATTTCTAAATGAAAATAATTTGTATACTCCTACAAATAGATAATTAGGATTTCACTGTTAATTTTTGAATTAATCGCCTTTCGATTTAATTACATGAACTAAGAATATGATGTTATAAATTTTGTTTTCAATAGAAAATTTCATAATATCAAATTCATTTATTATGCTGAAAATATAAGATTTATATTTAATTTTGTAAATTACGTGTAAATGGAAGAAATTGATAAAAGACACTCGCAGTAGGTGTCTTACACCGACCCTAAATAATGTTATCGACATGTCCTTCAAGATTATTAAATCCGATAAAATAGCCAAAGAAATCCGTAATTCGCTTTTCGGATACATGGAGACATTGATTACACTCTTGTATATTGAGTTGCTGTAGGATCGAAAGTCCTGTCTCCAGGACAGGATCGAAAGTCTGTCGTTGCTTCAGGAGCTGCAATTCGTCCTTCTTCAATAAAATATTTCAAAAACTTCAACGCATTTACGACAATCGCCACTGAACACAAGTCGTGGGTTCACGCCTCGCCAACGGGCTGACCACGTGGAGTTTTTCGAGTTTTTTCACTTAAGTAACATCTAAACAGACCAGTTTCCCATAAAAAAAAAAACTTCCCGAAAGGCTTCTCCTCTTGGTAGATCGCCCGCGTGTCGGGTATCCGTAACCAAGCAAACCAAACCATAATTATATATTTTATGAAACAAACATTATACCGATATGTAATACTTACTTTCATTGCAAAATGGGAGAAGGTATCCACTTAAACAGGAACATCCATATGGGTCGGGCAGACAAAAAAGGATTTCAGAACAGTCTATCACATTTCCAAATTTATCGTAACATTGCTGGTTACAATGTTTTCCAAAATAATGTGCTGGACAGGCTGTTAAATGGAAATATAAGATTCAGTATTAAAAACTCATAGTTATATTTGAGCCTTGTTTGAAAGTGGAATAAGTCCATTCATAATAATCAATAATTGAAACAACTTTCTTTAAAGTCTTTATAACAGATAATTATTAAGGTCCTAAGAACACAACGTAATAAATAAGATAACGGCGTTACTGCTCAGATGAAGTGATGAGTAGTCCTTTTCATCATTCCATTTAGTTTTCTTTCGGAAGATTTTAGACCATTATAAACCAATTATATACTGCCTAGGACTATTACAATGTAATAAAGAATTATCGGAATAAAAATAACTTCCTTTTGTATAAAATAAAACGAGAAGATTTTGTCTGAACTAAAGAAGAAGCAATGTCAAAGAGGGAAAAATACGGACAGAAAAATTATGAATTGGCTGATGAGCTTGGTGAAGTTTAAATGGGAAGAACCTTATAACATTTTCTACAGACTTCTATGGAAACATATGCACAATTTAAACTTATTGATCTATTTGGGAAACGAGGAAAACCTAAGAATTTTAGCATAATTACTGTTACCACCCTACACAACTTCAAGACCTATAACAAGAGAGAAATATAGCCTAATGATATGACGAGTTTACTGCCTTACATACCTCCTATTCAACAAAATTACTTCATTGTGCTAAGTATAAAAGAACAAAACGATTTAAATATAATTAATTTATTATTAAATAGTTATCTTAATAAATCAATTTACCTTTCATTAGTTATATTATATTAGAATTTATAAATAAACAACTGATTAATAAAGTCGATTATCGTTATTTTAAATTATTATTTCTTACATAAAAAAGTACACTTCAGAAAAGCCAAGTTGAATTAAAATATAAATTTAAAATTGTTGTTGTTTATATTTTTCAGAATTTGTTATCATTGAAAGTGGTATAAGTCGATTTGTAGTTTTAAAAAGTCGTTTATTTTCTTTAACAATTTTATTAATTATTATTAAATAATAAAATTTAACCAGTTTATACTTTTAAAACATTTACCGAATTAACGTTAGCCAATATTTTAGTAAACATATGTTGATAATTAAATTGATAAAATTATATGGAAAAACAGTGAAACTTCCTTTACCAATTTGACATTCTGATGCCGTGTCTACGCCTGATTCTGTAGGAAATAGATACTGTACGTAAGTAGACTATTAATTTTGAGATAAGAACTTTTATTTTCAGGTAATTGTGATACTATCAGGATGTGGTGGGATAGCAAAGTGGCGACGCTATTTCTAGAAAATGCCACAAAAATCCTAAGACGGTAGCACAATATGGCGAGTACGTGCCGCCATTAAATAAGCACGTGCCTCTCGGCCTTTGTGGGCACGGCCAGGTGCCACCGAGCGCGTCCACGGGTTGCGGATAGTGGAACGACCTCGAAGGAGGTTAACTGCGAAATAAGCGAATGTAACGTACATTCGACGAATAAGCAGTCGCGGACAACTGGCAATAATATTTAAAGAATTGATTTTCTTTCAAAATAGCTATTTACCAACAGTTGATTTTGTTATGTGGACGAGCAAGCAAGAAATTCGTTGGGTCTTTGTTCGATGTTCTGTTGGTCGAGAAGGACGCGACTAGGGTCCAGTCCTAACAGTTGTAGCAGTCAATCTTCTATTTCTTTGTAACTGACCGAGTTTAAAATAAGTAGCAACGAGGGTCCTTAACAGATTTCATGTTTGGATTCTGTCTTTCGAGTAGACGACATAGAAGATCGTCTCTGCGCGTTTGTGTCGTAATAACTGCTGCAGTTGCCTATTACGCAGGTGACAGTTTCAGCAAAAGAGACCAATCAAACATTGCTGTGATTTTTTTTTTTTTTTTTATATTTCGGTATTACTTTCCCGGCTGATATAACAGAGGGAAACTATTGCGATCCGGCAAACAATGACCCCCCGCAGATTTTTACATTTTTGGACTTAGAACATGTTGAAACATCGAGAAATGCAAAAAAATTCGAAGGTAATTTCTGTAGGCTATATATGAATGTTAGTGTTGCTAGGTGTGGGGGGGGGCACGATTTTGTTCATTCTTTCTGAAGCTTAATAACGTTTGTGCTTTTAAATTTTGCTATTAAATTTTGGTGGTTAAGGTCGAGGGGTAGGGAGATAATAGGGATCCAGTGTATCTCCAGTAGGGTCGGCCTTAGTGACGATTTTACTCGTCATTAGCATTTATCATTCTTTATAAAACTCATCCCTATTTTCAAAATTAACTTTTTTGCCATTTTTTAAAAGTTAAAAGTATGAAAACTCTTTAATAAAACATACATAATATAAATAATATAATATATTAATATATATTATATTAATANGTCTAACCTAACAATTGAATTTATCCTACATGTTAATACGTTCAAATCCGGTTTATATCATAATTTACCAAACATTTCATGTTATCGATTCTGATTAATTTAAATAGCTGTGAGTCTGTCTTATTCTTCATTGTTAAATATATGGGAAACCGTAACATAATATATTAATAAACATACATTTAATATAACAGACGGCGCCACCAGAATTTTAAACGTCGCCGAGAAAGTTGAGCAACTCGTTGCTGAATTTTTTACATTTAAATAAACCCACGTGACATTTCTGAATTCCTCGGTTTCAATAAATGAAAAATGACAAAATTTTATTAAAATCCATTCATTAAATTTTGAAAAAATTTATAGAACGAATTCAATTCTATATTACACAACGTTTAAGCGACGTGAAACATCGCACGACAAAGTGCCGCGATTTATGCGATATCGCTTTGTCGCGCGTACTCGTGAAACGACCTTATATCTCGAAAACGAAGTCGTGGATCCCCATCTTTAATTGTATTTTTGGATTTCACATCGCAATCAATGCAAAATGGCAAAGTTTCATCAAAATCGATCGAACCGACTTTGAGAACGATCACGATTCTGCAAGCCTCATAGAATAGATTTTTTATAAAATATTTACAATGTAAATTATTGGGGGATAAGATCTATAATTATTATAATTCCTGTTGCCCTAAATATCTATAATAAAGATCACAGTACACATTGTTTATGCTAGTATCTTGGGAGTATTATTTTATTTAACTTGTATTAAATTCTTAAGTTTGTATCTAGTAATTTGAATTATAAAAATTTTAAAATAGAAAAAAATTATCATCATCTTCAATCACTTCAATCCTGTTAATGAGGTTGATTATTTCTCACAGCTCACACTATCCGAGTTAAATATTGCATATGAATTTCGAGCTAATTTTAGTCCCTCTTCAGTGCTGTTTAAAACAATATTACGATAATTAAATTATAATACACAATATAAAATACAATAATATAGTTACTTACATAAGAGAATAATTATAAAACGGAACGCCTGGCACTCAACTTGAGAAATGAAGTTTAAACGTAAGTACACACACTTCTGTGAGGTAACGGACAAATCCCAACCGTCAGGAAATTTGCGAAATCAGTTGATTTAGAGAAAAATTTAATTGTTTAAAAAGGTTTACAAAAAATGTTTGTAGTCGGAGACCCTTTGTTTAAGTTAAAACTGCAATGCAGATTCATAAATCGTAGAAGGAATGTCGTTCTTTGATCGCTGGAAGATCGAATTCAATTTCGATTTTGACCTCTTCCAAGCTTTAGGTAGGAGTCCCGTCGCGCTTAGTAACGAGGTACCAACCATTCGGAAAGCGCGGATGAAGAAGATCAATAAATCAATCAGTATGGCCGATCGAAAGATGAAGATTGATATAATCTCCGACAATTAAGGACACGTCGCACTCGGTCAGTTAACGTTCGAAATAACCGAGACGCCGTGTGTCAACGCACAAAAAGCAGTTTCCTGCCAATTGTGTATTGTGAACAGCTCTGCGTTGCCGGAAACAACTGTCGTCTCTCATGCGGATAACGACCAATTCTATGCAAACCGCCAACTCGAATCTTCATCAGCAAACGGACATCCATCGTTTCTGCCCCGGGGCCCATCATTCGCCGTCCACCTCAAACCTACAAAGGACTCCTCTTATCTACCGATCGATCATCGCATCCGAACACAACGTTGGATACGAACTTTTGTATAGAGTTTCTTTGATTTACAATAAACGGTTTTTTGTTAGATACTTGTCATCATTATCTCCTCTGCCACCACCCACGTACAAACAGCCCTTAGGTTCATCTTAACGCGGGATTTTTAAGCCCAGGGGCTTGAGAATTAAATAAGCCCGAAATTCATACGAAAAAAACAATAAAGGAGTTTTTTAACCTAAATAGCTGTGGTATAGTACCAAAGTAATTCTTTTTGGATTAAAGAGAGAAGTATTTACAGAGTGATTTTAATAACTTCAAATATGACGATTAAAATATTGATTAATTTACTTATTAATAGGCCTATATATATTTATATTATGAGTATTTCTTCTAATATTAGTATACAACATAAAGTTACCATTTTCGCAATATGTTCCGTTAAATCCCGGAGGACAGATGCATTCACCGGTAATGTCGTGGCACACTCCGCCATTAAAACAATTCGAGCAATTATATTCACATAGAGGACCATATTTTCCAATTTCGCATACTGAAATACCAGAAAAATATATCAGTTCTAGGAATAACTAATATTAAAAGTACAATTTACACCGTTATTTTCTTGTATTGTCGTTATGGAATTATATTCTTAACATCATACTAACTGTACAACAAACTTATTACAAAAAAAGACATCGTGGCTATGTCTGTTTCCGTATCCGTAAGAAAAGAAAATGAAAGAAAAATTATAATTCAAAATATAGTACATACTACAATTGTACTTTGAACGTCCCACAGTTCTAACACATTAAATTCGAGAGAAAGTTATTTGTAATATCAAGGAAACGAAATATTAATGCGGCATGCAGTTACATTTTAATGTAAATGATAAAACTAACGATTAAAAAATTTGTTTTCTAAACAATCTTGAATTCTTTCAAATTGAATTGGTTTCAAATTCTATTGAGTTGATAGAATGAAGAAAATGCTGAAAATATTGATTTCAGTTTCAATTGCTTGAATACGAGATTTTGAAATTTAATGTATGATATTCTATAAACAATGGAAAATACAGTATTATAATTTCTGAAATAAAAATATACATACCTCTCACTATTAATCTGGTAGCCGCTAAAGTTTGATTATTCTCAATTAAACTAAACAATCCTGCATCGGAAATACTAATTGGTATGGCCGCCTTGTAATAGTTTCCTGCAACTTTCACTCCATTTATTTTCAGTTTGTCGCCAATGTCAATACTTTTTAAATTTAACAATTGAGAAACATCGACATAATCTCCTTTACTTACTGTAACTGTAAATCTCTTGCTAATAAAATTAACTGGAAAATATAGTAATAATCCGTTAATTCATCAATACTGTATTTTCAATTATAATATTTAAAGATATTATTTTTCGTTTGAAAATTTATCTTATTATATTTCTTATAACTAATTCGAAGTAAAAATAATTTTATTATTACAGTATTATTATTATTCCCAATTGTTTAGAACTGCTCTATTAATAATCTTTTATTTGTTCTTCTAAAAAAGAAGACTGAACCAAACAACATATAATATGGTATTTGACAGAACCAACGCACAATTGATTAATTTACTTATTAATAGGCCTATATATTCCAATTTCGTTTAATTAGCAATTCCAATTGCTAATAAACATTATTTGGTTTTTACAATGATATCCAATTAGACTGTAATGTAGCACTCCACTTCAGTCATCAATCTCTTAAAACAGATGCACATACCGTTACTATAAGAAATGTCGGAAGGAATTTTTGCGATTATGGTAAGAGATCGATGACTGAAGCGGAGTGTTACACATACTCGAAACGCATTATACAATTATCTACAAATACATTCTACAATCCTCATCGTAAAAACTAAATAAAGTCTTTTTATCTTATCACGCGTTGCTTCTGTCTTCTTTTTAAGAAAAAATAAGCTGAATGGTTAAATTTCACTCATTGACAAAAATGTCTTGCACCCAGATAGACTTCTCCGATTATGAAAAGCTAGACCTATCCAGATCTCTAAGACAAATATGCAAATGATTGCAGTTGTGATCCGATTGTACTCCATTTAATGCTACCAATAGTGTCTCAAACTCTTTACCTCGGTATCTTATAAGGCTAGCAGAAATTTACTGTGTTTTCGTGTTTAGATTTTTGAACGCCAGTCATGCCTGTACGATGCAGATGAAAGCCATCACGCACACCTGGCAGAGTTTGAGACAGATCTCATCATCGGTTCGAAGCAAGCAGAATGATCATTCCGCCGAAATTCCCGTCTTTTAGGCTCTTCTAACGTTACGCGTCCTTACATCAAGACAACAAAATCGTCGAGATTGTTTGGAATAGTATCTTTACAGAGAAGCAGTCTGTTACAGATCGTCAGCGTATCGGTGCTTGGTCTGGGTTAGCTAATTCAGTCGTCCCCAGCCCCCGGGCCGCGAACCGGTACCGGCCCGTGGATCAAATGGTACCGGGCCGCCCAAGGAACATTAAATTACAGTACTGGTATTTCCATTTTATTTACTGTGGTGTATTTCTCTCGGGTTTGTGCGACTTTTAATGGACGACGGAACAGAATAAACTGGACATAAGAAACACAATCCGGGTGTTATTGTCTCCTATTATCCCCAGATGGGACCGTCTTGTTGCAAAGAAACAAGCTCAGGGTTCTCATTGATTTAACGTTCTAGTGAATTAAAATGTTAATCACATTATATTCATTTTTTGGTGTAACTATATTTTATTTTGAAGGCATGTTTAAATACAATTAAATTAAATCAATCTAAAATATAAACAATCAACGTCCCCCCTCAGTGGGCCGCGGTAAAATATCAAACGTTGACCGGTCCGCGGCGATAAAAAGGTTGGGGACCGCTGCTCTAATTGATGGCTTTACAAAGTACAAAGATTTCTTTAATAATTGTATCGTCGTTCCATAGGAAATTGTTCATTCCTGTGATATTGTAATCACTTACTGATCGTCGTTACGTTTGCACTAATTAAGTTTTATTCTATTTTAATTTTTCCTTCTTAGTGCATAACTTTTTTATCAATGAGTGTGTTTTGCTTTATTATAAAACGAACTTTACCATTTTTATTTATTGCTATAGAGAAGATATCAGAGAATGAACTAAATTGTGTTCGACACCAGAATCCAGTCCTTGTATTTACGTTGTTCCAGATGTTGGAATATTTTTTATATGATGGATTTTTACCTGGAAAAAAGTCTGTGTTAAATATTACACGTTAAAATATTTCGTAATAGTAAATTGCTTACTTAATTCTGTGCCTAAAAATGTTGCTTTCCTGTTATTCCCATTGGTAAAATATATCGATTGATTATCAGTGGCTAAAATTCGGCACTCTTGTTCGTGTTCTTCGTTTCCATTATTCAGATAATTATGATGAAGACTTATGACATCATGTACTTTTTCTTTGAAAAAGTTATTTAATTTATGAATTATGTTTCGATTATTAATATTAACTATTGCAAGTAATAATAATTAAAAGAAAAAGTTATCTATTATTAAGCATTTGTAACCATTTAGTTTTTGCAAATGTCTTATTGGATTAATTCGCTATAACCAATACTCAAACTCATTTTTTTTATTCAGTATAAGAGTGTAAATTCTGAGAAAAAATAAATATCTTGCTATATTTTCTTTTTTCGATTTCGTATTTGGCAGCAATATTCGATAAATTTTAAAGCACATTACGATCTGTGTATATAAAACTTGACGTTATTTTGACTATTCTAGCGGAAATAATGAATCGTTTCCAATTTCATTCAACTACTATAATTTCGAATTATTGTGTGAATACTGACAAAGTTTAACATATTAATATTAAGCAGTTTACTTTTTATATGATTTATTCCTTTATCAATAGCTAATAAACAGAATGCATATTAGTTAGTTTATCTAGGAGTGGAGTAAGAAAAAACATCTACCGGAAGTTAACATATTCAAAAGTGATGTATTGTACCTGTACAGTACATTATCAACTCTTGTCCGTGCATACCGTAATGCCTCATACGAAGAATTTCATTCATTCCATTTAAACTCCGAATCGTACGACGTCCTAATCAATTTTCCCATTATACTGTAATTAATGGCAAGTGAATTAATTCATTGCTAGACCTTAAACAATACTCATTTCGATAAAGTTAAAACAGTAAACACAGACAATTTAAGGTAAAAATTACACAATTAAATGCCTTAATAATAAATTAAAACACGAAAACAATAAATAAAATACGGAAATACTGAGTGATGAAATCAAACTTAATTTTATTGGTCGCACGCCATCAATTCGGGCATCTTTAACAGAGTACACGACAACTGGGGGACGGTGAACTGGACGATTCAAAGTGGGCGACAGAAACTTTAAAATTTTTGCACGCATAACAAATAGTAAGTATACGATTTGGCGGATATTTTCATTTACAAAATTTTATATAACGAAGTCACTAAATTTTGAAAAAAAAATTGCCTTAGGAAAATTTCGTTTTACAGAAATTACACTTTTTAGTAAATAAAGTATTATTTTAACGTAATTTTTTTACAGTAAGTTATTTTCGCGAAATGATCGGCATTTCGGATTATCCGGGGAAGACCATGAAAACAAATACCATACCGAAATATCTGATATTTCTGTATGGTATTTGATTTCATGGTCTTCCCCGGATAATCCGAAATGCCGGACAATCCGCGAAAATACGGTACCTATGAGCATTAAAATTTCGTTTACATCGTCGTAAACGAAAGTTCTAATACTTTTTCTTGTACGTCTCGCATCGTCGGCTAATTTCAAAATTGATTTGCGATTTGTTATTATGGTTGATAAACTACTCATGGGAATTCTAAACTTTGCTACAGTTTTTAAGCCTTTATCAACTTCTCTCAACACACTAATTTTTCTAGTATTGCTTTAACACTATATTAACAGTTCTTCAAATTCCAACTGAATGAAATGACTTATTAAATTTTAAAAAAATGTCACTAACCTCAAAAATTATTCAAATTTATCGCCTTTCTAACATTTTCGACATTCGTTAATTGTAAATCGTTTATGTGCAATCAGAGATTTTCAACCAGTGTGCCACGAAAACTTTTCAAGGTTATTAAATAAATTATTTTCGACAGAAGCCCAAAGAACAATAAGGATACATATAAAAATTAAAACCTCTTTGATTATACGAGTTTTCATTGTTATAATAAATAAATGTATACATAGTGCAATAAAAATTATATATTCATAAGCAAAATTATATGTGCATAACGCCGGATTATTTCATTTAAAACGAAATTTTCTTTAAAATAAAAAAAAATGTATCTATAATTAGCCATACTTAGTTTTTCAATGAGATTAGTTTTATGTCCTAAGGATACAGCAACGTTTTTAATTGTCCATCTCTTTGAACACAAAGGTATACATGAAAATTACACATGACACTCTGTATATTCCTTCTTGGTCAAATGACCGCTACGTTTATAAACTATCGGCATTTAGGGCATTAATAAAAATAGCCTTCATGTATTGTTCCAACATATATGACAGGGTGAAAGAGCTAGATAGAATTTAAAACATTGCTGTATCCTTAGGATATAAAACTACTGTAATTGAAAAATTGATAATAAGTTATACGTAAAATAGAAAGGAAATGGTAACAAGAAGAACAAAATAACTAAGTTTACGTATAACAAGAACATGATCGGTTTTGTGATCAGTGGTAGAATGTGAGGTAGCTGGCATTACAAAACCGGCACACTCAACAGCATTAGCGATGAATTTGGAAAAAGTTGAAATTTATAGAAGTAACCTTTTGGGCATATGTATAGGCCTAAACTATAAGGATGTCACTATATTACTCACAGCGTAGAAATGTATGGTTGAAAAAAACTTATTAGAGAATCGTGTATAATGTCCATACAATCAAAAACTGATATTGTAAATTTAATTTTTTTTTCTTTTTATCTATTTTATTATTTTGTTGTTTTAAATTGTCCGTATTTAGTTCAAAGTATTTTAACTTGGAAATAGCGAGACATTAGACAGATTTCTAAAGGAAATTATCATCCCACTTTTAAATGTGAATTAAGACTTAATGTTAATTACTATTTTTATGTAAATGAAAATTATTCATTTAAATAACTATTGTTGTAATCTGCTGCTATTTTAAAAAACGACAATAGTCTACTGTTTTATTTAATTCACAAAAAATACATACAAAAGAATTCGGTTAATTGGCAAGTAATATGGCTATAGAATGTTTACAAACGCCACTTTAAATTACGTGATTTTTCCGCTTAAATTAAAAAAAATCGCCTGGTGACTTAATATAATAATACAAATTTAAAAAAATTTGAAGAAATTTGAATTTTAAGTCTAACCTAACAATTGAATTTATCCTACATGTTAATACGTTCAAATCCGGTTTATATCATAATTTACCAAACATTTCATGTTATCGATTCTGATTAATTTAAATAGCTGTGAGTCTGTCTTATTCTTCATTGTTAAATATATGGGAAACCGTAACCATTGTTAATAAATGCGTACCCGTATTCTACACACAAAAACTAATGCCCAATAAACAGACCATAAAATGCATAGAGAAGCAGTTAGAGCCTAGTTTATTTTCGTGCCTAAGGAAAGATTGTAGCAAGGAAGCAGCTTGATCAGAAATTTCTTGAACGGTGAATAGAAAAGGGCGAACCTCTCGACTAAGGCCAGATCGGACTAAGTTAGTTAATTTAAATTCTCTTAATTTTTATTTTTTGGTGTCATTTAAAATCCCTTGTATACTCCGTGTCAGTAGCAACTACGGATCGAGAATACTGATACAAATTAGTATGGAAATTTACAGCATGGCAGTCAATGTTACGACTATGATTTGGTAAAATTCTGTATTTTCAGACTCGTTCAGTCCGAGTCGAGTCGACATTTTAGAGTTTATGTTTAAATACCATATATACAGATTCACATTTTTAAACTTATATATAGATATAAGTTATATATATAAATATATAAAATACGTTCAAACAAAGAAAAATCTGTATATTTTAAACAAAAACCGAATACGATATTTTTGTCTAGTTTAGTTATTGTTTATTTTCAACAAAAATTTCCTTCAAATAAAATTAAATAGAATTAACTTCACTTATCTTTATCCATTTTTTAATGTCACACTGTGGTTTTTTTAGAGGAGGAAAGTCATAAAATTATATATGCCTCTCACTTAAAAAGTTTTTTTAATCAACTTATATCTGAGTCTTAAAGAGTCTTAAACAACAACAAATTTATTTTATATAATTTGGGTTTTGAGATAAAACGTATTCGGATTATGTTTGCCTTCTAACTGATGTAAAGAGCCATTCACAGTAATGCAAAGAAAATACTCTGAACATCGAAATAAGTTCTGAGACGTAGTCTAATTATGAGCTAGACACCGAATAACTAGAAAAGTCCACGGCCAACTTAATATTAAAATTTATATATGGCATCTCTATGTAAAATTTTTCTGAGTATTCATCGACTGGCTCTGATTATTAAGAACTACAAGAAAAAAAATCTAAGGACAACATTTACTAAAAATAGAAATTCGATTCAAACAATAAAATTTAATCATTACAAAAAAATCTTTAAGAAATATTGATTAAAATTGACAGGAAACGATAATTGTAGAATATATAAACTATTTATATTAATTCTTTTGGTAATTTCTAAATATGAGATATATATTTAAAACTTAAATTTATGTATTGTTATTACATGTAAATTATAATCTTTAAAATATTTACCTGATATTCGGGGATTAGTAAAAACGAAATATTTGGTGGAAGGTGGATTTCTATAAAGAAAATAAAGTATTTATACAGAGAAAATTGCAATATTTATTATATTTTATTTAGTTTATTTTTAATAATAAAAAATTGTTTACACACATTCTTATAAAATTAATTTTTACAAAAAGTATGTATAAATAATATACGACCGAACAACGTAACTGTGTTTTAGTTATGTATTTGCAATTACTTTATTGTATAATCATAAATATATTTTTCGATCTACAAACCCACGAATTAAAAATAAAACTATGAATTCACTCGTATATCAAAACTAAAAATTAACACATTAAATTTTAAAATTTACTTTATTTTCTGAAATTTATACTTGCCGTTATAGGTAATTTTAGTGTAACAACAAAAATACTGAAGTCAATTTTTTATTGTTTCTTTTACAAGTTTATGTGACGATTTCAACGGTGGCTTTTTTTCATAAAAATTTAGGATATTAAGAAAATAAAAATAAGATCTTTTAACCGTATTTTTATTTTATTAATACCCTAATTTTTTTTATTTGAAGGAAACCATGTCTACTGGCAGAAGTTATAGACTCTCCCAGAACTATTTCTGTTAATTTCTGTATCCTTGTCTACTTGGACTTTGTTTAGTAATACGAATTATTATACTGGTGTGGTTTTCGATTGGCAAATAGAAGAGATTTTAGTCAAAAAGACGAAACAAAATTTGTTTTATTTTTGCCTGAAATTCAGATGAAAATAACGGTCTGCGTATCAACCTTGTGTTTGTGGTCAATCTGTGTGTTGGTTCTCATTCTCACACTGTGTAGTTTTAAGATTTTATGGTTGTTCGAACCCTTTTAATTTCACCCTTTTTAAAAATAGGTTTTTAAACTCAATTCTATATCGGTTTATTTGTTTATTTAACTTTTTAAATCTTGTCAATTGTACTTTTATCCATATACAGGTTTTTCAATATATGCAGTTTAATGGCCCAATTTTAATAACAATGTGTGTTAAATAATGGAACAATATCTGTAAAAAGATGACTGAAGAGAGGTTAACAAAAACTAACCAAACAAAAAATAATTCATTTCCCTTAGGTAAATTTCTTACTTAAAAAATAAACTGCTTAATAAAGCATTTAAAAATTTAACTAAAAAAATTGAATTTATACGAACATTTTGCTTTGAATCCTTTGTCTGAATGTTGGTTTAAATTCTACTCTATTTCCGTTTACTTCTTTGAATCTGATTTGTTGAGCAGAAGAATAATTCCACGTTGAAATGCGAAGATCGTGTATTGCTGATTTGCAGATGTAAGAATTCTGAAATAAAACAATTATATGAAATAATATTTCATAAATTACAACTTATTTCGTTAATTTTCGAATAGTAGAATATATTACCAATATATAATGAATAAACTCAGGATAAAATTAATTTTATTCTTGTAGCACGAGTGCAAATGAAGTAACGTTACAGAGCCACAAGTCGTCACACAAAATCCAAAACGTTTATTTATGCAGTTTATAAAAAAACTCGTAATAAAATAAAATCTTGTATCGGGTTTCTGTCCGCGTCTCTATAGCTATCTTCCCCCCCTGCAACAACTAAAACATTCGGCGAAAGGACGACCGACATTACACATCTCTTCTTCTGTTTACTTGTATGTAAACAAAAGAGAAAATGTTCATTCTCAAGTAAAGAGACAATCCTGATGCTGGGAGACAATCTTTCGATGACCTCTTACATTTCTTCTTTTTAACCAGTTTTTATTGGTTTTAAAGTTTTAATGTTTTTCTACTATATTAGTCAACTTTTTATTCGTTTTAACCAAAATATTTTTATTTTACAGGTATACCTGTTATTATTTTTAACATTTTATTATATTTTATTTATTTATTTTTAAATTTATTCCAGTTTTACTTGTTCTAACCAACGGTTTTAATAATTAGTAATTTCAGTTGTCATTATAATTATTTTTGAAAACTTTTTGAGCGTTAATTCTGTAATTTCTTATATAGTTTTACCGATATACATAATAAAATAAGGACTGAAGAGGGGCACATAGCCCGAAATGCTTATCCATTGTAAATTATACAAAATAAAAATCTATTTTTTTCATCAAGAGGAGTGTTCCTGTATCATTTGTTCTCAATAGCAACTTTTTGCTAAGTTCTAAAGAACATACCGAATACATATTTGTTGCTAAATTTATTGGAATTACTGTATTAGAGTATAAGACTACAATTGACGAACTGCGCTGTTTCGAACCGCTAGCTCTTTTTCTGCCATCGTGTGACATCACACTGAAAAAGGTTGACTATTGATACTGGTTTTATTCGAATAACAGCCGACATCAAATAGTTTCTGCAAGTACTATCCGGAGATTTCCGAAAACTTCAAGAAACTATGTAAAATTAATAAACCAACGTGTCGTATGTATTTATTTAACTAACGAATTTTAATGAAAAGTGAAATATATAAGATGTACAATATATAGTTAATTAAGTGTATTTTTAAATTATCAGCATTATTTTATTACTGGTAAATAAATAGTAACAGTTGTAAAATACCAGTTGTATTACAAGTATAATTTCTATTAAATATCGAACCATTTCAATAATGGACACCAAATGGATATGTCGTATACGCAAATTAAATTAATTAACGCCCTGGAATAGTAACCGCAGCGAAAATCTGCGCTTTAAAAAGTAGCAGAAGCTATCATTGCAATAAAATCGGCATTGAGAGTTCTCCCGAAGTGACCGATGGAAACTCATCAATAGCCGGTCTGGTTAACTGGTTTACATGTAGTGACGTCATCGATGAGTTCGTTTAGGAAAACCATTCATTAAGTCCAGCGTGCCTCGGAGTTGTCGAGCTCGATGCTCAATTGATCATACGTTACGAATAATCTCTTACGCACTGTAGTCTCTAGGAACACTTAAGGAAAAAGCGTTATGAGGTATCGTAATATTTCTCTACAAAATTTTCTTAAATTTTCTTAACTGTTACTTCCATTACAAAATTAATGGAAGTAACAGTTAATAGTGTTGGAGATGTGAGAATATTTTATTTGTTTTAAAAAATATTCCATACCGTTAAACCTAATATACTTACTTTGTGATAGAAAACAGTTCCATATACTTCTCCACTATTGTTTAAGCAGTTATTTGGACNTTTTTGAAAACTTTTTAAGCGTTAATTCTGTAATTTTTTATACTGTATAGTTTTACCGATATACGTAATAAAATAAGGACTGAAGAGGGGCACATAGCCCGAAATGCTTATCCATTGCAAATTATACAAAATAAAAATCTATTTTTCCATCAAGGGGAGTGTTCCTGTATCATTTGTTCTCAATTGCAACTTTTTGCTAAATTCTAAAGAACATTCAACTGAATACATGTTTGTTGCAAAATTTATTGGTATTAATAAACAGTAACAGTTGTAAGATACCAGTTGTATTAAAAGTATAATTTGTATTAAATATCGAACCATTCCAAGTAAATATTTAAATACTTTATTAATAACGGATATCAAATGGATATGCCGTATACGAAAATTAAATTAATTAACGCCCTGGAATAATAACCGCAGAGAAAATAAGCGATTTAAGAAGTAACAGAAGCTATCATTGTAATAAAATCGGCATTGAGAGTTCACCCGAAGTGACCGATGGAAACTCATCAATAGCCGGTCTGGTTAACTGGTTTACATGTAGTGACGTCATCGATGAGTTTGTTTAGGAAAACCATCCATTAAGTCCAGCGTGTCTCGGAGTTGTCGAGCTCGATGCTCAACTGATGATACGTTGCGAATCATCTCTTACACACTGTAGTCTCTAGGAACACTTAAGGAGAAAGCGTTATGAGTTATCGTAATATTTCTCTACAAAATTTTCTTAAACTTCTTAAATTTTTTTAACAGTTACTTCCATTGTAATGGAAGTAACTGTTAATAGTGTTGGAGATGCGAGAATGTTTTATTTGTTTTAAAAAATAATCCATACCGTTAAACCTAATATACTTACTTTGTGATAGAAAACAGTTCCATATACTTCTCCACTTTTGTGTAAGCAGTTATTTGGACAAAATCCTCTGAAAAACAATTTAAAATTTTATATATGTTTTAACAGAATTGAATTTATGTATAAATTCAAAAATTATCATCCCTATTATTTTAATATAAGTTAATACACAATCCGAAGTAAAAAAATTTATAATATCACAAAGCAAATGACTTCGGATAAGTTTTAACAACAAAACAATTTATGTGAATGACAAAAATGTAAGAAAGAACTGAAAAAAATAGAACACAATACAAATATTAGCATTTATCTTTCGCTCAAATGCGAAAAAAGTACGAGTGATTTGAAACTAACGTAAATTTTATATAGTTTCTGTAAAGTGTTTCAGCGGTATTGGAAATTCGTATGATTCGCTTAAGCTTCATAACTCTTGTGCCTTTTGTCGAAAATATCTGAAATTTTGTAGACAGGTTTCTATGTTAAACGGCGATATTTCCGAAAACTTTTAGGAAAATACTACCTTTGGTTTGGGAGATATTAAAGGTGTGATGCTCCAAGTTAACCTACCGAACCGATAGTCCGATTTTTCGGAAAATTTCTACAAATATTTCCTCTTAATATACAAACCTTCCTAAGAAATTTTAGAAATTTTAGACATAAGGCACACGAGCTATTACGCTTCAAAGTAGCACACGTTAACATCCATACATTAAAAAGCTCCCAACTTTTGCATTTCTCGATGTTTCCAAAACATCTTTACACGACGATGAGGTGGGGGTAATATTTTTAAAAGAGTTACATTAACCTTATTTTTTCCGACTAATCTTTCATATTACTAATTTTATATACTTTGCTACCATTATTTGAGAGGAAAATAGATAACGAATGCGACAAAGGACAGCAATTACGTTGTCAGCTATTTTTTCTCAATTCGTCATATAGCGAATATAATGCCAAGGTACTTAGGAGTAGTTAAATGAAAGGAATTTTAACAAAATTACAACAGACCATTAGAACATCGTTATACTATATCATTAAGAAACCGGATTTTTATGTAAAATCATAATTTTTTCTTGAAAGATATTCCTCGTAACATGCATAAAAAGCAAATTTTGAATGATATAAAACCCCTTAATTAATGCGTTATTAAAGCATATAAAAGTATATTTGAAAAGTTATAAGACATTTCTCACATTTTCTCCATAGTAACATCATTTTGAAATAAACTGGATCAAAAATACAGAAAATATTTTTAAATAATAGTTTGTGGATGACCTTAAATTTAAATTCGAAACGAGAACTCCTCAATCAGTTCGCTGTTTCTACTGTACTTACAATTTGCATTATTATTAGTACATATTTATAGTTGCTGTTAATATACTAGTAAAGTTTGTTTTTTGTTTCACATTTTAGACAGATTTCTTGAGTTTATATTATGGTTAAACCAAAAGTAAGCTTAGTAGCTAAATGTAAGGCAAATGTGGAGAGTTCGGATTAATATATTTCCCACAAATAATGACGTTCCTCTATGTCGATCCCATAATGATGCCATTACGTGCGAGAAACTCACACGTTACTCAGCACATTTGTACAGCTTCTCACCCGGCTGCGTAACACTAAAAGATAAGCAAATAATTTGAAATGCCGACAACTATTAACCGGGACCATCAAAGTCTTCATTTCTAAGAGATTTATGTGCCGATATGATCAGTGCTAGTGTCCCCTCTCATAAACTAAATAACAAAGAATTTAAAGCATTCTTAGAGAAATACTGTGGTGAGAAATACTGTGGGAACAAATACCTGATTAATCGATTTTAAGAAAGGATTATTTACCANTTTAAACTCAATTCTATATCGGTTTATTTGTTTATTTAACTTTTTAAATCTTGTCAATTGTACTTTTATCCATATACAGGTTTTTCAATATATGCAGTTTAATGGCCCAATTTTAATAACAATGTGTGTTAAATAATCGAACAATATCTGTAAAAAGATGACTGAAGAGAGGTTAACAAAAACTAACCAAACAAAAAATAATTCATTTCCCTTAGGTAAATTTCTTACTTAAAAAATAAACTGCTTAATAAAGCATTTAAAAATTTAACTAAAAAAATTGAATTTATACGAACATTTTGCTTTGAATCCTTTGTCTGAATGTTGGTTTAAATTCTACTCTATTTCCGTTTACTTCTTTGAATCTGATTTGTTGAGCAGAAGAATAATTCCACGTTGAAATGCGAAGATCGTGTACTGCTGATTTGCAGATGTAAGAATTCTGAAATAAAACAATTATATGAAATAATATTTCATAAATTACAACTTATTTCGTTAATTTTCGAATAGTAGAATATATTACCAATATATAATGAATAAACTCAGGATAAAATTAATTTTATTCTTGTAGCACGAGTGCAAATGAAGTAACGTTATTGAGCCACAAGTCGTCAAACAACATCCAAAACGTTTATTTATGCAGTTTATAAAAAAACTCGTAATAAAATAAAATCTTGTATCGGGTTTCTGTCCGCGTCTCTATAGCTATCTTCCCCCCTCCAACAACTAAAACATTCGGCGAAAGGACGACCGACATTACACATCTCTTCTTCTGTTTACTTGTATGTAAACAAAAGAGAAAATGTTCATTCTCAAGTAAACAGACAATCCTGATGCTGGGCGACAATCTTTCGATGATCTCTTACATTTCTTCTTTTTAACCAGTTTTCATTGGTTTTAAAGTTTTAATGTTTTTCTACTATATTAGTCAACTTTTTATTCGTTTTAACCAAAATATTTTTAATTTTACAGGTATACCTGTTATTATTTCTAACATTTTATTATATTTTATTTATTTATTTTTAAATTTATTCCAGTTTTATTTTTACTTGTTCTAACCAACGGTTTTAATAATTAGTAATTTCAGTTGTCATTATAATTATTTTTGAAAACTTTTTGAGCGTTAATTCTGTAATTTCTTATATAGTTTTACCGATATACATAATAAAATAAGGACTGAAGAGGGGCACATAGCCCGAAATGCTTATCCATTGTAAATTATACAAAATAAAAATCTATTTTTTTCATCAAGAGGAGTGTTCCTGTATCATTTGTTCTCAATAGCAACTTTTTGCTAAGTTCTAAAGAACATACCGAATACATATTTGTTGCTAAATTTATTGGAATTACTGTATTAGAGTATAAGACTACAATTGACGAACTGCGCTGTTTCGAACCGCTAGCTCTTTTTCTGCCATCGTGTGACATCACACTGAAAAAGGTTGACTATTGATACTGGTTTTATTCGAATAACAGCCGACATCAAATAGTTTCTGCAAGTACTATCCGGAGATTTCCGAAAACTTCAAGAAACTATGTAAAATTAATAAACCAACGTGTCGTATGTATTTATTTAACTAACGAATTTTAATGAAAAGTGAAATATATAAGATGTACAATATATAGTTAATTAAGTGTATTTTTAAATTATCAGCATTATTTTATTACTGGTAAATAAATAGTAACAGTTGTAAAATACCAGTTGTATTACAAGTATAATTTCTATTAAATATCGAACCATTTCAATAATGGACACCAAATGGATATGTCGTATACGCAAATTAAATTAATTAACGCCCTGGAATAGTAACCGCAGCGAAAATCTGCGCTTTAAAAAGTAGCAGAAGCTATCATTGCAATAAAATCGGCATTGAGAGTTCTCCCGAAGTGACCGATGGAAACTCATCAATAGCCGGTCTGGTTAACTGGTTTACATGTAGTGACGTCATCGATGAGTTCGTTTAGGAAAACCATTCATTAAGTCCAGCGTGCCTCGGAGTTGTCGAGCTCGATGCTCAATTGATCATACGTTACGAATAATCTCTTACGCACTGTAGTCTCTAGGAACACTTAAGGAAAAAGCGTTATGAGGTATCGTAATATTTCTCTACAAAATTTTCTTAAATTTTCTTAACTGTTACTTCCATTACAAAATTAATGGAAGTAACAGTTAATAGTGTTGGAGATGTGAGAATATTTTATTTGTTTTAAAAAATATTCCATACCGTTAAACCTAATATACTTACTTTGTGATAGAAAACAGTTCCATATACTTCTCCACTATTGTTTAAGCAGTTATTTGGACAAAATCCACTGAAAAACAATTTATAATTTTATATATGTTTTAACAGAATTGAATTTATGTATAAATTCAATAATTATCAAACCTATTATTTTAATATAAGTTAATACACAATCCGAAGTAAAAAAATTTATAATATCACAAAGCAAATGATTTCGGATAAGTTTTAACAGCAAAACAATTTATGTGAATGAAAAAAATGTAACAAAGAACTGAAAAAATAAAAATAAAAATAAAACACAATACAAAAATTAGCATTTATCTTTCGCTCAAATGCGAAAAAAACGAGTGATTTGAAACTAACGTAAATTTTATAGTTTCTGTAAAGTGTTTCAGTGGTATTGGAAATTCGTATGATTCGCTTAAGCTTCATAACTCTTGTGCCTTTTGTCGAAAATATCTGAAATTTTGTAGACAGGTTTCTATATTAAACGGCGATGTTTCTGAAAACTTTTAGGAAAATACTACCTTTGGTTTGGGAGATATTAAAGGTGTGATGCTCCAAGTTGATGTACCGAACCCATAGCCCGATTTTTCGGATAATTTCTACAAATATTTCCTCTTAATATATAAACTTCCCTAAGAAATTTCAGAAATTTTCGACATAAGTCACACGAGTTATTTACGCTTCAAAGTGGCATACGTTAACATCCATACATACAAAAAAGCTCCCAACTTTCGCATTTCTCGACTTTCCAACACATTTTACACGACGATGATGTGGGGGTAATATTTTTAAAACAGTTACATTAACCTCATTTTTCCCGAGTAATCTTTCGTATTACTAATTTTATATACTTTGCTACCATTATTTGAGAGGAAAATAGATAACGAATGCGACAAAGGACAGCAATTTCGTTGTCAGCTATTTTTTCTGAATTCGTCATATAGCAAATATAATGCCGAGATACTTATTAGTAGTTAAATGAAAGG